GGGTGGGGGCCGGGGCGCCAGCGTTCCTCCTTGTGCTTGATGGAGTACCACGTGAGGAAGATGAAGACGAAGCCCACGAACTTGAGGCTGGCGGCCAGGCCGAAGTAGACGAAGCGGAAGGCGGTGACGTCGTACTCCCAGCACGAGCCGTGCACGCCGCAGTCCTGCTGCCACAGCATGCAGGTGGTGTCGATCACCGCGCCGAAGTAGATTGGCGTCGGGATGTACGCTGGCGACAAAGAAACAACATCAGTTAACGCAAGAGCTGGTGCAATCTTGGTGAAGGCTGCATGAAAAATATTTTATAAATGAGAAAATGCCATTTCTGGAAAATTTGTGCCTGAATGCTGGAATGTGGAACGAAAAAAAAAAATGGCATGGTGTCGGATGGTGGAAAATGTGCCGCTTTTTTTGCCACTAGGTGGCAGCTTTGTACCATTTAAAAATGGAACAATGCAAAAACTACAATCAACTCACCCAGAGTTCTGAGAAGGACAAACTGCATGCCGAGAGCAAAAGGCCTCTCTTGTTCATCCACCGACCTGAACAAACACACAAGACACGCATCAGCATGATTTTTTTTTTTCTGCGGGGAAAAAAACCCCAAAATGCTTTTTTGCAATCTTGTAACTTACGGAAGCCCGTTTTCTGCCACACCAAAAAAAAAAAAAAAAGTTCACTTTTTCGCTCTATCCTACCATCACCATAATATTCCAACGTTTCAATGGAAATTCTTGTAATAAAAGCACTTAATTTTGATAACTTAAGCAATTTCATATCTGTTTTGGTTTAAAAATATTTTTTTTTTGCCAACTGGAATTTTCCAGTAGCTTTACAACTTTTTTTTTTTTTTTTTTTTAAAATGTCTCAAATGTAAAAGAAAAATTTTGGACAATTACGACTTTGGTCTCCCTCCAAAAATTTGGGAATATTTTTTATTATTATAAACTTTTTTACAGTATGATTTAACTTAGTCATTTTCATCCTAATTCTTATCTTGTTGTCCGACAATTTTCCTCTTTGCCCCACCTGAGCGTGACGATGATGGCGGAGGGCTGCGCGCAGGCGGTGATGAGGGTGACGATGAAGAGGAAGACGAGGAAGGGGATGAGGGTGCCGCACGTGCGGTCGCACTTCCCCGACGTGGCAAAGCCGTTCTCGTTCAGGTACGTCTTGACGATGACCAGCTGGAGCTGGTTGACGGGGCCGCCGCCCGACTGCGGCGTGATCACCTGACGGCTCTGCACGCAGCCGCACTCAGTGTAGTTCCTCATCTGACCACAGCGGGGACGGCAAGAATGCTTACAACCCAAGTCATTCGAATCCATTTCAAAGAAGATTCAAAATGCACGGCGGAGTCCCCCAAGGGTCTGTCCTTGGTCCTCTTGGTGTTATTTTTATTTTTATTTATTTTTTCCCATTTGTGGACTATCAATGCATTTCCTGTGTTAAACATTGCGATTGGACAATTTGACACTTCCTGTATCTGCCAAAAAAACGGCGTTCCGTCCAGTGCACTCACCCCGCTGCTGTCGTTGCCGACGGCGCTGCATCCAGCCAGGCAGGGGTTGAAGTAGGTGATGCCGTCCGAGCCGCACACGGGCGCGTACTCATGGATGCGGCAGCCGCAGTTGACGTTGCAACTTCCCGTCAGATTCCGATGCGTCAGCGTTAGCGTCGGACTGCAACCACACGCGACAGCGCACTCGTCACGAAACTGCGTCGGCAGCTGTGATGTTGTAATCGTTTCTTTCAATGATGGCTGACATTTGTGTTATTTTCTTCCAAATATTTTTCATTATTTGTCCACATTTTTTAACCCTTTTTCCCGGTTTTCCCCAGTTCTGTAAGATTTTGAGATTTCTTTTTGGTGTTACTACTTTGGCTCTTGTCGAAAAGTGCAAGTTTTGAGTTTTGAAATCACAAGAAATCTAGCACAAATATCATGATGCTAACTGTGATGCTGTATGACAGTCGTAGTGTATCATCTCTACAGAGTATTCACACGTATATTCTAACTTTGGGGCCTCTATTTTCAGGTTGACAACTTTACTGGCACGATTGGAATTGTTTCGTTTTTTTTTTTTTTTGTCATTTTGTTTTGTTTTCTTCCCAGCACTGATGTCTAGACAAATGACGAGGTTCACAAGTTCAAAAAGGAAGGGCTCCACATTCCTCACAAAGGCGACAACAGCAGCCACGCTGGGGCCATCCCAAGCCAGCTTGAGAAACGTCGCATTTATTAGCAAAACCAAAGTGCAGGAACTGCAATGATTTTGTCATTCAATTTCATCCTCAAAATGAAAAAAAAATTGAAGTGCAAAAAAAAAAAAAATGTTTTACTTGCATCATTATTATATCAACTGGATACACAAATGTATATTTTAGCATTTTTTTTGTTTTAACATTTTTTATTTAAATCCCAGCATGAGGTACAAAACAAAAACAGATATTTATTTATTTTTTAATCGAGAACACTTTTTTTCATACCTTTGTTAAATGGCCAACTTCCTGTGTCTTTTTGAAAAAAGGTTCCTGAGACTTTTTTGTGGGTCACCTCATGGGCGATAAACTCAACAAATTCCTTGTTGCTCAGTGAAGCTTTGGAGTCAGAATTTTCCCTTTTTTTTATTGGAGAGGGTGCCAACTATTTACTTAAAATTAATTAATTCTTTATTTATCCGTATGGAGGAATTGGCTTTTCTGGAAATTGTCAAAATGACTTTGGACTGGCCACTCCAAACCAAAATGGCCGACTTCCTTTGACTTCTCAAGAATGGGTCCTTGAGACTCTTTCATCTGCCGAGTCAAACGAGACATGCCTGGCAAATTTCACATTGTTGAGTGAAAGTGGCCTCGGCGGGGGGGGGCTGAATTTTCAAAGAACTCCCAACTGCGGCTGTTACGTGCTCACCCGGTGGTGTAGGGTATGTTGATGCCTCCCAGGTTGATGCTCTCGCAGCCCACAATGAAAAGCGTGGAGAAGCAGAGCAGCGACACGCCGCTGCAGATCATGGCCAGCTTGGCCGACTCACGGGCGCCCAGCTTCAGCTTCTTGATGATATAGCCACCCAGCACGATGCCCACGCCCGCGCTGGGCACGATGATCAGACCTGGAAGGAGAAAAAGACGAATGGGGGGGTCGGTTCAAGTCCCATTTGGTATCTTTTATACAAAACATCTTTATTTCCGGATGTTCTTCTTGCTTGTTGTTGTTCTTGTTCAATGCATCCATCTTGACATGGTTTGGGTGTCCATGGCAACAGGACCACCCTTTTGTATCCTAGCAACAGTCAGTTGCGACTCTTCAATAGTGTTTAAAGTGTGTGTGTGCGCGTTTGTCCGTGCACACGTTTCGGAAAGGAGCATATGTTGGCCCGGCAAGAAGCTTGGACACGACAACGCGGCTTCCCGCTTGGTGCTGTGGTAATCCCGCTGGTGCTGTGCATCATCATCAGCAGCAGCACCACTGAAAGATTAGATTAGCGCCGCACAAGTGGAACGGGAAAGAAAAAAATGTCCGCCCGCAGGAAGTGTGCCACAGTTTTTATGACTGAATTAAAAGTCAGAAGGACGGCAATGAGTCACTCAAGCCAACATGAACTATAAAGCGCGAACATGACGACCTGTAGCGGTGCAATTTCTTGTTTCAGTTTCATTCAAATCGTAAAAAATAAATCAATAAATATGGGTGCCCATCGGCCTAAATTAAATTCAACGAAAACAAAATTAAACACAATTCCAGAATTGACAGGATGTGCTTTCCAAACAAGGAGCAACAAAAAAAAAACTTTTATCCCAGACGATCAAGGCGAGAACGACATCTTACCCGTGTAAATGCTGGCGTTGGAGGCGGGGATGCCAAACTGGGACTCGATGAACTTCGGGATGAAGGTGATGAAGGCGGTGACGATGGCGCACTCGGCCGTGTAGGACAGGCTGACGAACAGGAAGGTCATGTTGCCGAGGATCCTCAGCGCCGCCTTGGGGAGGTCTGCGGGAACAACAAAAAGACGCAGCGCTTGGGTCTCATGACAGGAGAGACAAGGATCAATAAAGTTTTTTTTTTCCTTTTTTCTTAATGGCCAGAGATGCGATACAGTACGTCCACTCAGAAGGCGCTTAATCTCGTTTCATACACGTCAAGGGCAAATGCGGGCTCTTTATGTGTGCCCGAGGCCGCTGTCCGGATGATTTGGCGGCCGCGCGTTGATCCCATCACTCGCCAATTATGCTGTCAGCGTAAATAAATATGGACGCTGCTGTTGCCGGGCAGATTACACACACTCCCAAAGATCATTTCGGGAGCTCCTTTGCGTCTCGACTGCGTCTTGGGCTGACATTGGGTGAGATTTGGTGGCAGGCGCTCGCTCAATCCTACCGCCCGATGAAATATGAGAATGTCATGGAGACGTTGAATGATTTCCCTTCCTTTTGGGAGGGGGGGGAACAGATGGCGAGCTGTTGATGGCTCCTGCAGCTGTTCCCCTCCAGCGAGACACACCACTGGCTTGTAACACTTGTCACATTTGTTTCTTTTGTGGCACCGCATTTGCATCCTAACAGCCCCACTCAGTGAATGGCAATTATGAACACTCCCAAAAATGGCAGTCCATTCATATTGGGCCAAAACGATTAGTTTCGCGTTTATTTCAAAGTCCCCTCTTAAAAAAAAAAAAAAAAAGTATTTCTCTGACTTTGTGGAGTTATTAGAATTTCATATTTTTAGGTCGTCAAGCGCTTTCGTATGAATGATTCAAAAGAGTCGAAAATGGCTGCTTTGAACCAACATGGCTGGCCGGCAGACTTTTGTTTCTACCCGTGACATGTCGACCGCATTTCATATGAATTTTGGGAAATCATGTCAATGTTTAATCCCCTCCACATATTACATACGCAGCGCACAACAAATTGATGACATTTTGGTTCAGACTTGAGCAAGCATCATGGAACTTGACATGCTTGATTTGCTTTCGCGGGCCACATAAAATGAGGTGGCGGGCCCGATCTGGCTCCCGGGCCCTGACTTTGACACCGTGGTCAAAGTGGTTCCATATTTTGAAGCAATTTGTGGAGCGCAGCTTTTAAAGCAAACACGGTGAAGCGGCGTTAAGCTGTTCTGCTGCACACAAGGAATAAGTATACATTCTTTTCAATCCAGGTTAAAAACAATGTTGATTTTGACGAATCGTGACTGTGCTCCTTTGGGAATTCATTGAGAAAAAAAAGCCGACAGAGAGCGAGGAAAGATGGGAAAGCCCACAAGCGCAATGGAGGGAAGATGGGGTGTCCCTGGTTCATTTGACCCAGAGGAGAAATGGGCAAAAGCGCTTTCAACGAATTACCTGCTTGATTAGGCAACCCCTTAAATCAATAACATCCTCGCAGGAGATCTGAATGGATTTCACACTATCGGAAAAGACGACTAATCGTGGCCACTGATTGATTGGATTACAGGCACTTTGTACATTGTTAGCTCACGGCTAATCTAAGCGAGATAACATCGAGTTTCAAACGGCCTCGTCAAAGCACCTCAGAAATGAAACGTTTCTCCTCGTCCTTTGTCTGGTCTTTTTTGGGGGGGAGGGGGGGGGTTGATAGAACTAACAGCAGCAATATCAAGCAACTAGCGACTGCGTCGTATGAATGTCAGTCAATGCCGCAGAATGCTACGTTAGCGTCTTTTAGCGGGACTTTTTTTTTTTTTTGTCTTGGGTGTGCTAATGTTCAGTATCACCTAAAATATTGGCTTTCGTCTCAATAAAAGGTTTTAGCCAAGTCGTTGCTCACCCCGGATGTCCTTCCCGAAGCCCATGGAGGAGGACATGCTCTGGCCCTTGCCGCCGGACTTCTCCTTCATCACGTCGTCGCCGGAGAGGGCGGCGGGCGAGGCGCCCATCTTTTTCTTCCTCCTCTTGTGGCGCGGCGGCAGCTTTTTGGGGAAGGCGAACATGGGAAAGATGACCAGGAGCATGGCGACGGCACACAGCAAGAAGCCGCTCCACCTGAACGACAAACAACTGATCAGTATGAGCTTTTCCCAACAATTCCAAAAAAAAAAAAAAAAACTTGTGGTATTTACCAGTTGCCCACAAAGCGAGGGTCACTTTGGTCAATGTTGACCACGGTTTCGGGGTCCACGTAGAAGCCGATGAGGACGCCTCCCAGCAGGTAACCGGCTGCCGGACCCAAGGCACCCATCACGTACATGACGGCTGACGGAAAGCAAAAGAGAGACAATGATGAGATCTCACAAACGCCGCAGTTTTGATTCTGCGGTGTGCACTCCTCCATTCATATCATCCATCAATCCATTTTCTAAAACTGCGTCTTCCGTTCAGGGACGCGTGGCGAACTTTCTTCACACAAGAGCCCGTAAAAGGGTTAAAGAGAGGGGCCAAAGAGCCAATCAGACACCTCCATGGGGAAAGCAAAAAAAAAAAAAAAGTTATTAAAGTTAAGACAACCCAGACTGGACCAGTGGGGGGAGGGGGTGTCCCTACAGCAGAGACATTAAGTCAAAACCATTTAGCAGCTACATACGGGGTGGGAGGTGGGTCAGACTTTCCATAATTACGCCTGGAACATTGCTTCAAGCTATCACGGTGTTAGGATTAGCACTTTAGAGTGGTGTGTGTGACTCTCACACACACACACACACACACACACACACACACACACACACACACACACACACAAAACACAAATCAACCTAATCAGACCCTTAATCTGGGGCCCAGACGTCGACGGAATAGCTCCTCCCACCCAGCCAGCACATGACATGTCACAGTCGCTAAAATTTTTTATTTTAGCCAGGCGGGAAGTTGTCCCGCCACGTTTCCTGCCTGACATGCGCTTGACTATTTCCAAAGAATAAAAGAATTATAATTAAAAAAAAAAAAATTACAACCTTTACAGAGAACGACAGTCAGAGGCAATATTTTTCATTGTACTTTTCCGGCAATATTTCGAAGAAAATATTTTTCAGTTTTTTTTTTCATCTAATACACGACGGTATTTTTTTGTGTATTTTTGCGAGAATATTTCCATATATTTGTCTGTTTGTATTCATTCCGGCCTAGTCGGAATGTGCGAAATCCTCCCCCTTTCCACACTTTGATTTCCCACATTGGTGTTGACTCCCGATAATCAAAATAACGATCACTGTTCATATATTTCCCAAATATTTGTGTCCTTTTCATCGCATATTTATCCCCCCAAATTTTTTTCCGATAGTATTTTTTTTTTATCATATATTTATCTGTCCAGTGAATTGGACAGATTACAAGATAGATTTTTTTAGGGTTTATTTTGTCTCATTTTTCAATATCATTGGCATTGTGTACACAGTACAGAAAAAAAAATAATGCATGTTACGTATCCATCGTCTTTTAACAGCGCCACTTCTCGTATTCCGGAGTGGCGGGGCACGGCTGCGGCAGGATATTAGCGGAGGGAACAAGCTATTTAATTAGAGCTAGCAAGCGTGGCGAAGGGTCTTATCTTTTTATCTCCTCCTAGCGATGAATAATGGCTCGCGGGCGACATAAACAGCCGAGGACGGTCCGGAATGAAATAAAAACGAGACGGGGGGGCTGCGTGATGAGAAAGTTGCAGATGAGAAGTTGCCTCATCTAAAATTGAATGCAGCGTAGTTGGCAGAAGCACACGGGAGTGGAATGCAAATGTGGAATCGGAAGAATGCCCGAAGGGATGTTTCGGCGGCTTACAAGGACGCTGATATTTTATGTCTTCACGGTTTGGCACCCAAGTGTCGGACGAAATTGTTGTCGTAAACCTACGCCTGGCTCAACCCGTCCACTCGGGACCAGGACCAAGTCAGTTTCGGGGGCGGGGGAAACTTGGAAGCCAGTCAAGAAGGGCAACTGGGACGAGAGCTTTCAGATTGACAGATTGTGCTGGCACAGCAGCAACAGCGGCCGGCGTGGCTCCATCACGTGCGCACAGAGACACAAACTGGTGGCGGGAGGGAGAGGGGGGATGCCAATGAAGAAGGGCCGCCCGATCGCAAGCTTGCTTGACTCAATTACACAACAGACCTTCAGTGGCGGCACGTGAAGGACAAAACCTTCCAGGCGTCGTGCGACTTGATCCGTTGGGTGCTATTGACTTTCCCCGCTTGTTTTTTTTTTTTTTTTTTTACCCAAGTCAGATTCTGCGTG